AAAACCGCTGCTATATCTCGCAATTGATGTTCCATCACTTTCCCACACTTTCATTGTATGGCACATCAGCTTGATTCCTCTGTAGTTGTTGCAATTCTAGACATCTCCACTAAAATACTCTTCCTTCACTCCTCTGGCATTTTCCTAGTCAACAAAATCTTGCTAAATAACCTAGTCAACCAAGCAACCCCCTTTTTATCCAAACATGTCCAAGCTTCAATAGAAATATCATTAGGTTTTAAACCCTTATTCGATTTCATCTTCTTAAGCGCTATCTCCAATTCAAAATTCATAATTCTGCGATAGAACTTGTAGTCTTGGTTTTTCTTATTACTGGCTATTTCCTCCCCTTTTGACCTTATTCCATGTTCCTCATTTAACTTCTCAAAATAGTTCTACATTTCTTAGTCTTTTCATTCTTCACCAATATTTTAGAATATTCACTTTTGATACACTTAACTTGATTAAAATCTCTTGTTTTCCTCTCTCTTATATTAGCAAGTTTGTATATTCTCTTCGCTCCCTCCTTACTATCTAGTCTAGTGTATAGGTCATCATAGGCTTTCAACTTAGCTTCTCTAACTACTTTTTTGACTTTCTTATTAGCCAATTTGTAGCTCTTAAGGTTTTTCTCAATTTTATCATTCTGTCACTTTTTAAAGCACTATTTTTTCGTCTTTACTATCGCTTGAATCTCCCCCATCCACCACTAAGTTTCCTTAGAGTTGGATACCTTTCCTTTCGACTCTCTAAGGACTTCCCTTGAGATTCTCCTCATACAATTAGCCAGCGAGTTCCACATAGTGTTAGTATCATCTTCCAAGTCCCAAATACTTTTTTTTGTTCATTCTATTCTTAAATATTTTTAGTTTAACCCCTTTTACGTCCCACCATCTCGTCCGACGATGCTCACTATCCTTCCTGCCTTAGTATTGCCCCCTTAAAGCATAAACCTAGTACCAAAATCCCATGTTGATATAGTTGCTTTCTTTGTGTGGACACTAGTGTTGGGGCGTATTTTGACTACTGATAATCTGATTCGTCGTGGCCATATTTTAGTGAATTCGTGTTGCATGTGTTGTGAGGTTGCGGAGACAATGGATCATTTGCTTGTATGTTGTCTAGTTGCTTCACGTCTTTGGAAGTTTATTGTTGCTATTTTTGGTTTGGCTTGGGTTCAACGAGGGTCGGTGTTGGCGGTTTTACAAAGTTGGGCTGGGGGTAGGGTTGGGAGGAGGCATCAGAAGGCATGGAAGTTGGCTGACCATTGTTTGATGTGGTTGGTTTGGTTGGAGCAGAACAAGTGGGTTTTTGTGGGAGAGATGTGTTCGGTGGCATGGTTGGAACGACGTTTGTTCACTTTGTTGCATAGTTGGATGTCATTATTAGTTGATCTAGATGTGCTGTCTTTTGTTTGACTTCATAGAGGACTTGATTCAGTAGTTGTTTTGATGCCCTTGTGGAGTTGCTCTGTGTTGCTTTCGTATATGTGTTTTGTTGGCTAGCCTTTTAGTTGGTTTTGTATTTTTTGCATCATCTTGATACTTCTTCAATAAAGTTTGCTTATTTATCAAAAAAAAAAAAAAAAAAAATCCCATGTTGAGACGTCAGGCTCTCTCTAGGAATTACCTTATAGTTGTTGCATTTTAGACAGTCCATTTTTCTTACTATAAACTAATCTATTTGGCTCTTAATTGACCCACTCTTAAAGGTTATCAAATGCTTCTCTCTCTCTTTTTTTTTTTTTTTTTGATAAATAATCAAATGCTTCTCTCTCTTCTTATACATAGTATTGGCTATCATCAGGTCAGATGTCAACGCAAAATCTAATACGTTCTCTAGCCTCATTTCTATCGCCAAAACCAAAACCACCATGCACCTTCTCATAACCTAGTTTATCTATTCCTACATGGTCGTTGAAATTTCCACCTATGGCTAGGTTCTCACTTACGGGTATCTTCTGTAATACCTCATCCATTTGGTCCCAAAAATCTCTCTTAGTTTGATCATCTAATCCTACTTGGGGGACGTGCACTAATAACGTTCACTGTATTCTCTTTAATAATTAGTTTAACTAACATAATTCTATCACATTTCCTAATGACTGCAACTACATTTTCTGCATGACCCTTGGCAAGTATTATTCCTAATCCATTCCTGTGTCTATCCTTATCACTATAATATAATTTAAAACCAATATCTTCTATTTCCTTAGTTTTTTCACCCGTCCACGTAGTTTCTTGTACATAAGTTATATTAACTCTCCTCCTAATCATGACATCTACCAATTCCATAGTCTTACCAATTAAAGTTCTTAAATTCCATGTGGCTATCCTAAACCTATAGTCTTGAACTATGATGCACGAGTACGGGTACTGGTACGATACGGGTATGTTGATACGGTAAAATCCAAAAAAAGTAGGGTACTAGTATAGCTTGGTACACTTGTAAAAAAATATTTATTTTAAATTTAGAGTAATGTAAAAATTAATTAAATGGTTTAATTTGTTAATATCCAATCTATAATTAACATTTAATGCCAAAAGTAAAGGAATATATCAAAATTAAATGCCAATATATTAAATAACTTACAAACCATAGTTTAATTTTAAAATAATGCTAAGGCCTCGTTTGGGGAGTTGCTATTTTAGTCAAAAAGTCAAAAAGTTATTAAAAGTTGTCACATCACCTCTTTATTTTTCTGCACATCTTTTCGTAAAAAGCCAAAAAGTTACTAAAATAGCCTGTTCCCAAACGAGGCCTAAGCATAAAACTAAAAATAAAAAAAAGGTTTAGTGAAAGGAATTTTATCTTTGCAGTAGAAGAAAATATTGTTTCAACTGAAGTACGATACGGCTTGGGTATATACTAAGTACGTCTGGGTATGCCAAAAATTAAGGAAAAAAAAATTTGGGTACGTATTTTGTGTACCCGATGCGTATGCAGAAGTAACATACGAGGCACCATACGCCGGTAAGTACTTGGTATGAGTATGGCATATTTTTCAAAGTACCCATGCTTCATAGGTCTTGGACTAGCTTCTTTATCCGTGCTTGTCCAGAAAAACGCGGAAACCTTTGCCCATTTTTCACCTACCCAAGCGTTGATGCGGTGTCCCTTGCTCACTGTTCTAAACACCCGAAGGCAGGCGCAACGTGTCACTTAAGGGGAACAACCTAGCATTTAATCGATTCATGGTAGGATTCATTTTCATAAGGGATCCGAACAGCTTTTTTACATGTTGGCTGTCGGCTACCCAATACACAACTTTCCTCTTTTACCTAGGCTTGGGACTGGCGGAGCTGTTTAACAACCTCGAGGGGCTGTTGTTTCCAAAATTGAATGGCACACTATTACCTTTTTTGGATTTGTTTTAGTGCTCACCATTTCAAATTTTCTCATATTTGCTACTAGAGAAATCACCATCTTATCATTTAAGAGGTCCATCAGAGCCATCCATTTTAAGAAAGAAGCGCAATTTACTTTTAAAAAGCCAATAAAAGAAATAGTGAGCACCCAACATAAAAGAGCCACCTAGGTATATTCCCGGTGATTGTCCAACTTGTTGGCAGCCGAGTAGATGCATGCCTCTCAAGCAGGGTTGTTGCACTTAACAATTATGGGTTAAGTTTGTAACTTGACTATTTTGGTTGGACTAGTAATGTCTATAACTAATTGAAACAAGGTTGCTTGGCAACTTTAATCAGATTTTTTTTTTGTTTTTGTTTTGGTTGTCCAAATATTTGTGGTGGAAACTATGAGAGTTGTATTATAATTTTTTCGGTTTGGAAGTAGCTTTTTAGTATAGAAGTAGTTTCGTACTTGTCTTATAATTATGGTTTTGCTTGTTTCTTAGTTTTGTAAACTATGTTAGTGAATGTAATTTACCATTTAGATTAAAGCAAGTTTGTAAGCTATTCAAGTCTCTTTGTTTGCATTTGGTTCCCATCTTGCATTCTTTCTTCTCTATGTATGGGTTCTCTCTATGTGAAGATGGGGTTGCACGTGAGGGAGGGTGTTGAATAGCTTAATATACATTGTTGGGTCCGTTTCCAAACAGCTTAAGCTTTTGGGATTATTCTTCAGTAACATAAACAAGGCAAGGGATAAATGGTGGTATAACATAAAAGATAAGAAATGAACGCATTTGTAGGATGTTAGTGTACAATTTGAAGTTAACTATAGTTGCCTAAGATGGTAAAGCTACATACAACTTGTACCACTTAATTTATCATTACAAAGGAGTGATGTGATCCCAATTGATTGTATTGAAGGGACTAAAGGAAGAACAAAAGGGTAGTGGGTTAAAGTTTATGAGACAAATAACGAGTTATACTGTACTATGAACTATAGTTGCCTAAGATGGTAAATGATTTATATTGTACTATGTATTATGTAAGGCAAGTAAAATCATCTATAGCTTGGATGGTGAAGCTGAACTATTGTCGTGGACATCATGCCTCCTATGACTATCACCACTTATTCACAATTTGGACTTTGGTTTGTTTGTGAATTAATAAGGCCTCGTTTAGGAACTTGGCTATTTTAGTTGACTTTTTGGCTATTTTATGAGATAAAAAAAAGTTGTGTTTGGAATGGTTTGTGGCGATTTTTTTTTTTTTTGTGAATATATGGTTGTGAGAGAAAAAGTGATTGATTGATGTGTAGGATGTGATATTTTGTTTTATTGGCTATTTTAGTCTTTTTTGTCTTTATTGGTTATTTTAGCCAAAAAAGCTCTTGCCAAACACCCCCAAATTATCTGTTGCATGCTTGAACTACATTAGCCAAGTGCATATCAATTGCTCCCCATGGAATTCTTTGAACTTTTTTCACTTGCAAGCACATTAAGGTTCTTGATACTTTGTATATGTGTACTATTATAATGCTTGACATTTACCTTTAGGCTCTTTACGGTTGTGTTAAATGCTTTACTATGAGGTTTCTCTCGGCTTCATTTTCTTCTGACATTTGGATTATTATTCTTTTATTTGGTTTAGAAACAAAGTGATGGGCTTGCTCATGCATCTGGAGAACATGCAGAGGATATTAGCAATGTGGGCAACAACACTGTATCAGGATCTAAAGGAACTAATAATGTGGCGAATCAGTTCTCTAGTGCAAGTAGTTCACATATTGTTTATGATGGTGACTTAGACACTTCTGTGGGGATGTTAAATATAGTATGTTAACTTAATAGTTTTTTAGAGTTAATTTACTAAATTGCTACTGTTTTGTTGCCTCATTTCTATGGTTCAGTTGGAATGATGTTTGTTTCAAATTGTCTTTACACAGGCAGTTATCTGGTTCCATCTTCATGAATATGCAAAGGCGTACTTGATTTTGGATTCTTTGTATCAAAAGATTGAACCAATGGATGAGGTATGATGAAATATTAACTTGTAAGAATTATGTTTTGTTGATTTAACTACCTCACCAACAAAAGAAAAACCAACCAACAAAAAGGGAAATAAAATGCTTAGACCGTGGTACTCAAATTTCTCTGCTTAATGTTTTTTTTGTTACTTATTTGCAGGCAACTGCTCTTCATGTATGCCTTCTGTTCCTGGATGTTGCATTAGCTTCCCATGATCCATGGAAATTTGTTGTAAGTTCAACTTTTAGGAGCTTTAATTCAAAGTTTTACTAGAGCCCACCAAAGTCTGTCAAAGTTTTACTTTTAGGATTCATTGTCCCATGCTTTTAGATTGGGGAATTAATTTTTCCCTGGGACATAACCTTGCTGCTCTTCAATCTACTTGGAATCTTGCAAACATTTTTTGGGGATTTGAAATTTCGTCATGCAATGTTGAGGTGTGACATGACATGATGTTGCTATAACATCTGAGAGGAAAATGCTAGACTTATTTGTACAGATTTTATGTACTAACTAATATGGCATCTTGAACGCGTTGACCATACTAACCTGTGTTTAAAAAAGAATGCATTTAATAACTTAACCAAATTAGTTTGTAAGCCAAGATTCTAAGTTTTGTTGGGACGTATAGCATTACTCATCAGCTTTTGTGATAAAAAATTCTGCTATTCCTCTCCTGCCATAGAAAGTAAACCATGGCTGTGAGACAAAGCTTGAACAGTTTGCATTGGAAGGTCCTGTCATTATTCTAGACACCTCAACAAGCTTCCTGAAGTAAGTCCATTCTGCCTGTAGTAATCCCCACCGTGAATAAGATCTTTTCCCAAATGTCTACTGCAAAGTTGCAGTTAAAAAACAGGTGTTCATGGTCTTCTTGTGCACCTCTGCAAAGCACACAGCTTGAGTTCTGAGTTAAGCCCCATTTTTGAACTCTATCTAGAGTAGTAAACCTCTTTAACAAACCAAGCCAACAGATGGACCATATAGGGACATTATAAGTGAACCAAACTTTCTTGTTCCAAGCCACTGGCTGTTGGTGAGGTCTAACTACTTGCCGGGCAGACTTAATCGAAAATCTACCATCTGAGCTTGCCTCCCATCTAATATAGTCATCTTTCCTTTCATTGGGATTCATGGTCGTCGGTATTTGCTGCACAATTCCATACATTACTCGACTCAACCTGCTTGGCCAGAGCCAATTTCCTTCTTTGATCATACTTCCAACTTTCATGTCCTGATTTCTTACCAAGTTAGGCCCAATACTACTGCCAAACCTAGTGTACAAAGGTTCCATAGGATGCCAATTATCTCACCAAAGGAAAGTATTCTTACCATTTCCTATTATAGTTTTGATATAAGGTCTGGCAGTGTCCCTCAACTTCAATATGTTCCTTGTACTCCAGGAAGCATCAATTGGAACACTCAATACTACTAACACAGCTTTTTTTTGATGATGAATGTATGGATCCATTTGACCGAAAGGGTATCTGCTTTCATACAAAGTGCCCACAATTGCTTAATCACAGCAGTTTTGTTCCAAAAATGTACTGATTTCAGACCAAGAACTTCCTCCTCTTTAGGATAACAGGGTTTTCCAGTTCACCTTTGCAGCAGATTTATGAATCTCAGTACCTGACCAAAGAAAATTCCTTATACTGGCCTTAATTTCTTTAGTTACTTTCTTAGCTAGAATGAAAATGGATGACCAGTAGACTTGGATTCCAAAAAGAACAGCCTGAACTAATTGCTGTCTACTTCCATATGATAGAGATTGACTATGACACCTCTGAACTTTATGTAGAAGCCTTTCCTTTAGCTGCTCACAGTCCTCAAATTTAAGCTTAGTAGAGACCGAGGGGGCACCAAGATATTTCACAGGAAGCTTTCCTTCTTTCATGCCCATAAGATTGACAAGCTCTGCCTTAACATTTTCTTCAACACCACTAAAGAACAACATACTCTTTTGCGTATTAGGTTTGAGACCTGGCAGTTTATGAAAAGCAACCAAGGTCCTTCGAACAATTTGAAAAGACTCCTTATCAGCTACACAAAACACAAAAAGATCATTGACAAACCTGAGATGCACCAGTTGAAGTTCTTGGCACTTTGGATGATACATAAACCCTCCATTAGCCGAGCTTCATTGTATTAAACTGTGAAAACACTCCATAACAACAAAAAACAAGTAAGGTGAGATATCGTAGTCGAAGACCCTTCTTAGCTGGGAAATAATCCACTAATTCTCCATTTATGACAATAGAGAGCGTTGCAGTGGAAATGCTTCACCCATCCAATGAACTCCGTAGGAAAGTCGATAGCAGTCATGGCATTCAATAAAAACTCCCATACTACATAAGCTTTCATTAGATCTACTTTCATCATGCATCTGGGTGGCTTTTTGTTTCTGTGATAACCTCTAGCAAGCTCTTGCAGCAGCAAAACATTTTCAATGATGGATCTCTTTGATGAAGGCTGACTGAGAGGAACTTATAATTTCAGGCATTACGCCTTGAAGTCTATTAGCCATCACTTTCGAAATACATTTGTAAATGACATTGCAACATGATATAGGTCTGTAATCCTTTATAGTAACTGGGGATTTGATTTTAGGGATAAGGGTATGGCTGTGCTATTCCTGGCTTTGCCCATTGTGCCAGAAGTAAAGAAATGTTTGACAGTCTTCACAACATCAGGCCCCACAATATTTCAGTAGCTCTGAAAAATTTACTACTATACCCATCAGGACCAGGAGATTTTCCAGGTTTAATACTAAACATGGCAGCCATAATTTCTTTATTGGTTACCTCTTTTACAAGGCAATTTTGACTATCAGGCTTTACTTTGGGTAAACCTAGTTCTTGAAAGATATTCTGACTAAAAATTCCCTCATCAAACTCAACCCAACAACTGTTTGTAAAACCGCTAAATTTCTTCTTTGATAGCATTTGGATCCTCCAACATGTCCCCCTTCTCTGGTCTTATGCTGAGGTTATTATTCTGCAATCTATACTAAGTTTCTTGTGAAAATAACTCCTATTCTGATCCCCTAATTTCAACTATTGAACACTGGACTTCTGCTTCTTAAAAGCTTCATCTATGAGGCTTAGTTCAGCGAAGTTAGCTAAAAGAGTGGACAACTCATGCATTTGTTATAGGTTGTTTATTAACCAGTAACTCAAGTTCTCAACCAAGAGTAAGCTAACCCTTATTTCTCGGGTTACTAACCGAAAGGAAATTTGGTACTTGTACTATACCGTGCTGGTTTTCAGACTTTCACCAAGGAGCATGTCTAGCCCAACTTCCTCACAATACACTAATGCTGAACTCAAAAGTTCCTATGAAGCACAAACACAGCAAAATCAGTGCCGTAGCGGTATCGGACACGGGACCACAGGGACCTTTACTAGCATATCATGGGTGGTATCGGACACAGGAACACAGGGACACGCCATGGACATGTACAGGACACACCATTTATCGTGTCTGTTTTTTTTTTTTTGGTGTGGGACACGACGGGGGGCACGACGAGGAGAAGAGAAGTCTCCTAATTTCAAAATCAGAAGAAAAAATGAGGGAAGAAAAAATTGAACTTGTTCATTGATTGAAGTCCAAAGTTGATCTCCATCTCCATCGAGCTCCAACTTAGTTGATCTCCATCTTGGCAAGTCTCTCGTCTCTGGGCCTCTCATCTCTCTCTCTCTCGCCTCTTGTCAATCTCTCTCTTCTCATCTCCAGTCGTCTTCTCCATCTCAGTCGTCTTCTCATCGTCTTCTCACCTCTCTCTCGCTCACTTGCTCACTTTGTCTCTCTCTCACCTTGCAATCGATCGACGAGCTCGTGTTTGTCCCTCTCTCTCTCTCTCTCTCGCTAGCTCTCTGTTGGTCTCTCTCTCACCTCACGCTCTATATATATAATCTATATTTTATTTATAGATTTGTTTATATTTATATATTATATATGTATTATATTTATATATTAGATTTATTTATTTATTTAATGTATTGGTATTTATTATATATATATATGTATTTATTTATTTATTTAAATGTATATTTTTGTTAACAAATAAAAATATATTAAAAAAAAAATTGCCGTGTCCCTTGCCATGTTTGTGTTTCCATTTTTTGAAAATTGCCGTGTCCGTGTCCGTGCTTCATAACAAAGTTCAATTATTAATACTGTTTCAATGTTTACCCATTTCATGAAACCATTTTAAGGTTCATGCCATTTATCCTAAAATGCTCTTTTTCCATTTTCAATAACAATGACCGAAGGCTCAATTTCATATTTCAAATCCCATGTCTCTCAGTTATACACACATTCTCAAATCTCATTCAAACACCCTACTCAAGGATTTTATCACATTTTCAAGCTATGTAAATATGATACAATTTATGAAGTTCTCTAAAATAAACCCAAGTCTCATGGTAATTAACATTTATGCAATTTAATAACATTTTTTATAAGTCAACATACTCAATTTCATAATATAAACATGATACTCAAAATCTCCAATTTCTATCATGTGATTTGCCCTAAACCTAGAGCATGCAATTTCTCAAGAATAACTCTACCATTTCCCTAACCAAAATAGCCCCCACACAACCCCAAAGTGTAAACACATTAGGACTCACTATGTCTTGGGGCGAAGAGGAGAAACCTTAGAAATGAATCTTGACAAAAATCATTTCTGCTCGGATAGATTTGAAACTCTTGTCACGTAGAACAACTCTTTCTTCTTTGACGTTGCGCAAATCAAACCCCAAAACTTCTAAATTATGAGTTATACGACGTTCTCACAAAGCATATTGAATATAGAGAGAGAAAAGAGAAAGAAAAGGTGAAGGGACAAGGGTTTGACTTCTTATATTTATAGGCACAACTCCATTCGTGCATCTGCTACTTTCTTATGTTTCTAGTTGCTCCGTGCCAGAGTAGGTACCATTGGTCCTCGAAATCTGACCGATTGCAACTTTTCTCGCAGTAAACTTGTGCAGACTGCTCAAGCAGACACTTACCACTTGAGCGATGATCTAAGAAATAAAATCCCAGATTCCAATAACTTACCACTTGATCCCCACTTGACAACTGCTCAAGCAGTGACTACAACTCAAACCTTGTTTGGGAATATGCTATTTTAGTAACTTTTTGGCTAAAATATGAGGTTAAAAAAGTATGTTTAGGATGACTTTTTGGCTTTTAATGAAAAAATGTACAAAAAATAAAGAGAAAAGGGAACCTTTGAGTTTTTTGTATAGTTTGCTGGCTTTTTGGCCTTTTAAATGACTTTTTGGCCTTTAGGACAAAATTGTAACTTCCCAAACAAGCCCTCAGTCTCATTGACTAAAGTTCAAATTGTAGACACGTGCTCCAAGAACTCTTCTTGTACTAACTTGTGTGCCAATTAAATAACACAAGTAAACTTGAAAAATAACATAATTACATAGAAATATATGAGTAGTTACAAGTTACAACTATAGTGTTGAAGGAGCCACCTGCCTTGTAGATAGCATTTCCAAGTGGTTGTATTGGAGACCTTGGATAGAATTGTGCCTTCATCATTTGGGTTTCTTGTTTACACTGAAATGTTACTTCATCGTGTAGCTTATAAGGCTTTGCTCTTGGGAGATGTTGTGTGAGGGATGAAACTATTAATTTAAACAAAATGAAGATGCAAAGAAGAAACATTTTTAAAATGAGCATTTGCTATGATATGGGTGTTGGGTGGATGTGTGGCAAGACCAGAACACATGAAGAATTTACCCATATTGTTAGATGTAGTCAATTAAAAGCCAACTGGATAAGGTTTGTGGTTTGGTTATTTGATGTAGACCAACAATTATATAGCAGCAGGTGTTATATGGTTTGGATTGGATGCAATATGACTGCAAGGATGGAAGGTGAAGCTTCTTTACAAAGAGCTTTCTATGTTTGTGTTATTCGAAATGTACATAATCTTGTGCATTGTCTGGTGACTCGTACATTGTTGCAAAAGATGTTTGGGTTTGCTAAGGTTAGTTGGTTTCCCCGAGGTGAATCTTTTTCAATGCTCTTTTTCAGTTTTGGCAAGGAAAATGGAAAAGTTGTGTCAATGTGGAATTATTTTAGCAATAATTTGGTATATTTGGGTGGAAGGAACTGTCAAAATTTTTGAAGAGAAAATAGCAACAAATAGTGTGGTTTCATCTTCTTCTTGGTTGCTGCCTGTGACTGTAAAGAGGGCAGAAATGATGAATGTTGGAGCTATCTGATTTTGATTACCAAAGGTTGGAGAGGTGGTATGCAACACTGTAAAATGGGTGAGAGGGTTAAAAACCAACCAACCCCCCAACCCCCCCCCCCCAAAAAAAAAAAATTATAGGTAGTTAGAGGTAACTATTCTTTTATGGAAATAATATGGTGGATATGTTGGGAAATAGGGAGGTCATTTTGATCAGTAAGTCTCTATAGTAAAGCCTCTGATTGAAATGCATGTGTCAAGAGAGATTTAGGCAGTAAATCACATTCTGTATTACAGTTTTTGTTAGACAGGTATTTTAGTATTACTGAGGTATTTTAGTATTACTGAAATTTTTGGGGTTGTGGCCCTCCCCCTAGCCGTCCTTGAGATTGGTGTTTGGAAGCTTCAAGTGGTTATTTATTACTTATTTTGTGGGCTAGCCAGCTTTACATTATTTCATAAATTGGATGGATTGTAACAAGGGGATTATTGTGAACTGTAGATTATGTGCTGTAGGGTCAAATAATATTATAACAACCATTTCAAGGAGTTTTTTTTATTATTTATTATTAATTTTTTCCCTGAATGCATTTCTTATTCTTATTCTACTCAAGCAGGTCCAAGAATTTATTAGTATGCTGCAACTCATGATTGTCCTGCACTTTTCATTATGAATGAGGTTAAGTAATCACATTATAGTAGTCAACACATCATTCATCAGTTAATTTATTCTCTCATTCTATATACTGCAATACTTTGGTTGTCACATTTATTGACAGCGTTATTGATATTTTTCGAATTCTTTTTCAGTTTGTATATTATATTTTTATTGCTCTAGTGCCATAATAATTATGTTGTGATTTGTTTTTGTCAGGATGTAATTAATTATGTGGAGAAAGCTTATTGTTTCAGTTTGGTCACTCAGAGTGACAATGGAAGCTCTGCACAGCAACAATCTTCCTACTTAGTGACGAAATCTTCTTCACTTCCGAGCAATTCTACTGCCACAGATGTTTCTATTATTGATTCAGTCGCTAACGCGAATGAAAGTCTTTTGTCTAGAACTTTATCAGAGGAGAATCTTGAATCCCTAATTTCATCAATTGACTTGAGTGGACAGAACCTAGCAAGACCATCCGGCCCTCAATCCTCAAATGATCTTTCAAGGACCCCTGCCGATCATTCCATTTCAACTGGTGATCTGAGACTTAAGTTACAACTTTACAAGGTTCGGCTTCTGCTCTTTGCTAGGAACTTCAAGGCAGCTAAGCGTGAAGTTAAGATGGCTATGGCTATGAATGTAGCACGTGGGAAAGATTCTTCTGTGGCTCTTCTGTTGAAGTCCCAGCTTGAGTATGCTCGTGGGAACTACCGTAAAGCCGTCAAGCTCTTGATGGCTTCAAGTAATCGAACAGAATTGGGGATTTCAAGCATATACAACAACAATCTAGGTTGCATCTATTATCGACTTGGAAAATATCACACATCAAGTGTATTCTTTTCCAAGGCGCTGAGTAATTGTTCATCACTCCGGAAGGAAAAGCTTGTAAGGCTCACAACTTTTTCACAGGACAAATCTCTCCAAATTATATATAACTGTGGAGTGCAGTACTTGGCTTGTGGGAAACCAATACTTGCTGCTCGCTGTTTCCAAAAGGCAAGTTTAATTTTTTACAGCTGGCCTCTATTGTGGCTCCGAATTGCTGAATGCTGTCTAATGGCATTGGAAAAGGGACTTGTGAAATCTGGTGTGTCCCATTCTGATAGATCAGAGGTTAAAGTTCACGTTATTGGAAAAGGAAAATGGAGACAACTTGCTCTGGAAGATGGGATTTCAGGTAATGGACAGGTGGATTTTGTTGAAAAAAATGATTGGTTTTTTGGTGATAATAAACACCCCAATCTCTCAGTGTCTCTTGCCCGGCAGTGTCTGGTCAATGCCCTGTACTTGTTGAACCGTTCAGAATCAAAATATTTGAATTCTGGTTCACCTCATAGTTCAACGTTTGAAGAAAATGATGAGAGTGTATCTGATGGTGATTCCAAGCCACCTAATCCGGTGGTGGGCTCAGGTCCATTTAATGCAAATGGGGATGCTAAAGATCAAAAGGGTGGAAACAGTGCCAACACCGCCTTACAGAGCTCCATATTGGATTATGAAGAAATTTGTAGAAGAGAGAATCAGATGATCAAGCAAGCTCTTCTTGCTGACTTGGTATATGTAGAGTTGGAATTAGGAAATCCTTCGAAGGCCCTGTCGATAGCAAGGTCTCTCTTAGAACTTCCAGAATGTTCCAGAATCTACATCTTTCTTGCCAATATATATGCAGCGGAATCTCTCTGCCTGCTAAACCGGCCAAAGGAAGCGGCTGAGCATTTGTTGATCTATTTGTCCAGTGGAAGCAATGTTGAACTTCCATACACAGAAGAGGACTGTGAACAATGGCGAGCGGAGAAAAATGTGGATTGTGATGAGTTGAATGGCGGGTCGTTGACTGCCAATAACTCTTCACTCGATGAATCGCAAGATGTTGTGTTCCTCAAGCCCGGAGAAGCATGTGGGACTGTTTATGGAAACCTAGCCACGGTGTTCGCAGTGCAAGGAGATCTTGTGCAGGCTCAACGGTTTGTGATGCAAGCTTTGTCCATAATACCCGATAGTCCAGAAGCCATTGTGACCGCTATTTATGTGGATCTCATGATTGGGAAGACGCAAGAAGCTCTCACCAAGTTGAAACAGTGTAGTCGTATTAGATTCATCCCTGGCAGTTTAACGGTAAATGGCTCCTGTTGATGGTTGTGTTGGTTTTTAGGAGGTAGGTCAAAAAAAAAAAAAAAAAAATCCTTTTTTACAAAAGGATTTGTAACATATATATAGCTTCATCCCAGGGAATAAATTTTTTTTTTTTTTTAATTTACATTTTTATCTTCTAAAAATTTTCAATTGTAGGATTCGGTGAATGGTGGTGCGGTGCCGAAATTATATTGGTAGTTGCAAAAATGGCCACCTATAAGATTTGAGGTGTAGTTCTGATTCACAGAATATTTTTGTTTTAGTGGATAAAATCTAGATGGTAATTCAAGATTGTAGAATGTAGAGGCCATGTGATTTTCTCGAGAAAATGAACTTCTGAAGGAAATTCAATCCTAGATGTTAATGCAAGGTCATTTATTTTCCAATGGCTTCAATGTTTTTGTTTTGCGGGTTTTTGTCCAAGGTAGATGGTTGTGCTCTCTGGCAGCTATATATGTGAGAAATTGAATTGAACTTTGAGAGTCTGCCTCGTGGAGGGCTTGAGTTCAACTCTCTTTTGGGAATCTCTCTTGGGAGAAGTTCCACCATAACAGATAGAGCTAACTTGATTCATCTTGATCATTGAATATTTTCTGTAAAATTGATTTATGTTTGGGGAAATTATAATTCATAGAAAAATAGAGTTTAAGATTTAATTATGAAGTCTATCATTAATTTGTGATTATTTTTTGAAAATATCACGGATTTGAACTTTGTTTTTGCTTTTGTTCTTGTTGGGTATTTGGTATTGCTTAAAAACAACTTAACTCAGCTTTTGGCGTAAGTTAAGCTGTTTTTGAGTATTTGGTTTAGCTTAACTCAGCTTTTGGCAGCTTAATTTAAGCCAGAAACTATGAATTTTGAGAAAGTGGCCTAGGAAGTGCTTAAGCAATTACAGCTTAGGCGGAAAGCTATATTGGAGGGGGGCAAGACTACTTAAATGACCCTCATCAATTTCAATTATTACCAAAAATCCAAATATATAAACCACATATCTCGACATGTTCACAAACTAGAGAGAGACGGAGGCGATTTCCGGTGTGCGCAGGCGAGTTCCCTACCTTTGAGAAGGCTTGACAATGCCTAAGATGTTCTCTTACCCTTGAATGCTTGCAAGAAAGTGGAATTTGGAAAGTAAAGGCCTTTATAGGTTCGGGTTCAGAAAGAATTGGGGTTCGGGTTCATAAGGAGACGTCGACCTTGCTTAGCAAGTAAGGCTTGGTTAAAAGCTTTGAAATCTTTCAAGCTCATACCTCCTTGATTTTTGGGGTTTGTCATATGATCCCTACTTGCCCAAGGAGTGCCTTTGTTATCCAGATCCCCTTTACACCACTAGCTTCAAACAAAAAAATTTAACTTAGCACAGAAAGATTGTGGCATTTTAAAATAAGATGTGGCATTTTGAAATAGGACATGACATAGGAGGGCAAAGCCTGAATGACAACTTTGATTAGTGTTTCCTTACCTGCTTGAGATAAAAGCTTAGATTTCCACCATTGCATTTTGCCTAACGCTTTTTCAATCAGACTCCCAAAAGCTCCAGCTTTAGATCTGCCTCATGAACAAGGTAGGCCCAAATATTTAGTTGTAAGATTGGCTTGTGAAACACCCAAAGAAGAGCAGATGGAGCTACGGGTTGTTGCAGATGCATTGGAGGAGAACATCACTCCTGATTTGGCAAAATTGATCAGTTGTCCAGAAGCTTCACTGTACATCCTCAAAGTGGCCATTATGTTTTGGCATTCATTCTGATTGACCTTATAGGAAGAGAATAGCATCATCAGCAAAGAAAATGTGAGAGAGGACTGGACAAGTCCTCCCATTGTCAACCTCGAATCCCTTGGGAATAAAGAGCCCGAGTTATTGTACGGCCTTTTTACCTAGTCCACTGCGTTTTGGGCCTCAAAACCAAACTCGAAGTTCGGCCCAATTTTCCCAAAAATTACCCTCTCAGTAAACATTCATATTATAAAATTTATTTAATGTGAATATTCACATCACCAAGTTGGTGATGCTTCAAAATTTTTTTGTAAGGATAAAATTATTTACGAAATATCTTAAATATGAAAATTAGGATTTATTAAATTAAATGTTCAAAATAATAAGACTTATTGAAATATAAAAATGTCTTATGGACTAATTAAAATACAAGTATTGGAAGATGATTTTTTTAATAAAATTTCCTTTATTGTTTAGAAATTGTCAAAATAAGCAACAAATTTGTTTTTGGAAATGATGATGTGTGCACACCCAGAGGAAATATGAATTCTTGTTTGTTATTTGCAGTGTTGGGATTTAGACCATCTTCAATGGTTCATCAAATTCATTATTAAATTTAAATTTGATAAAAAAAAGGTTACTTTTTGCTTCTCCAACGGTTCAAATTTAGGATTTCACTTTTCTTTAATCAAACTGAGGATCAATATGCTTTTTATCAAATCACTATTTATTCCCGTTGGATTTTCACCACTTGATGATCACCTCAAGGCAAAAATTTGTGACAAAATTACAATGGCCGATCAACCAGCCGGTCATCCGCTTGGTCGACCGATGGTTTGATGATGTTACAAAACCTTTTGTTGGAGCACTTGATTCCAAAGGAAATTTTAACTCAAATTTGGTGAAAAAATTTATCCACTGTTAGAGATGTATCATTGAAAATATCAACAATGAATGATTTGCCACTATTTGATTTTGAATTTTTTCACACAATGTAAACAATATATAATAGAGTAATTCTATTTACACACCACCAAATCTCTTAGTATATACCATTTTCTCAATACACAAAACACATATTTTCAATTTTTTAATTTCATCTTACTTTGCTCCATTATTTTTTTTTTAGTAAAAAAAAATCCTAAATTACCTTATCTTCTTCAACTCTCTATCCCAAACCCTAACCTAACCCTAACCACCACCACCGTTGTCGGTTGTCACCTCTTTCAATTGTCGCTCTTTCCTTCTCACGCTTTGCCTCCTCTCATTGTTACCCTTACTCTCTCTAGCCTTCATTGTTTTTCTTCTACCCTCTCTAGCCTTCATCATCATCTTTCTTCTCCTCTCGTCGTCACCCCTGCCCTCGCAATTTCCAATAACGGAGAGGAGAGTTGTAGTAGCGGTAGAAAAGGGAGGTAGCACCATCGCTCCCCTTCTCTTCCCATCGTCATCTTTTTCGTCTTCTTCTTCTTTTTGTTCTCCCAAAACCCTAACCCTATATCTTGATATACCACCGCCATATATCTAGGGGCACTCTGTCATATACTTTCTCAAGGTCGATAAACACCTATGAATGTCTCTTTTCTTTTCCATATATATAAACACCATATATATATATATATATATTTCCTTTCCAAATTACTATCTAAATCTGTTAAAAAAAAAAAATAAAAAAAATCCATAATTCAAACATAATTTGGGAATCAAAAAAACATTTAGAATCTGACCCAAAATTTTAGATTGATGGTATAGATTTAATCTTCTTGTTGTGGACCCATTCCATGAATGAATCTTAATCATGAATTTTATATTATGGATAAATTCCTTCCTTTTTTTTTTTGGCAATCGATAAAAAAGTAATTACAGATATAAAAATATTATATCAAATAGATCACTAACCTCGCAATAGTTAGAAAGTTAATAATTACCAAACCTAATAATCAATCACTAAGCCCAAGCCCAACAGCTACTACTAGCTACATACAATTTTCATCATCGGGGAGAAACAAGCTACCACTAGAGATGGCAAAGTATTCTGACCCAATAGGTCCCCGATACTCCCAGCCCTAATAAAATGGGTTTGGGAGTTTTTCAAGAAGGTAGTCACATTTGTGGTGAGAATAAGATTTGTAGGGTTCGGGTCAAGTTATTCATGTGTCTGAACTTGTTCATTTTTCAGACACATGAACAAGTTTTTTTTTTTCTTTTTTTATTATAAAAAAATTATATCAAATAGATCACTAACCTCGCAATAGTTAGAAAGTTAATAATTACCAAACCTAATAATCAATCACTAAGCCCAAGCCCAACAGCTACTACTAGCTACATACAATTTTCATCATCGGGGAGAAACAAGCTACCACTAGAGATGGCAAAGTACTCTGACCCAATAGGTCCCCGATACTCCCAGCCCTAATAAAATGGGTTTGGGAGTTTTTCAAGAAGATAGGGTCACATTTGTGGTGAGAATAAGATTTGTAGGGTTCGGGTCAAGTTATTCATGTGTCTGAACTTGTTCATTTTTCAGACACATGAACAAGTGTTTTTTTTCTTTTTTTATTATAAAAAATGAATGATAGCTATAAATTTAAATTTAAACCGCCTATTTTATCAATACAATTTTAATTCCATTGCCAATCGAAAAAAAAAGTTCAAAATTGATATTGGAGTCTCGCACACCTTTATTATCCAAAACGTATATAACTACGGAAGATGAGAAGCTATACGATTCTTCTCACTTTCATGCATACATACATTACCAGTTAATTTTGAACTTCCTAAATTATATCAAGCATGGCTTACCAAAAATTTTCCAACCGTTTCACATGTACTACTATGAGTCCTACATACACCCATAGTGTTCATTGTATTGATACATATAGAAGGTGATATAACTATGTAAGTTCTCTTATTCAAAAAGATGATACTTTCATCTGATCGTAGAACAAGCCAGAAGGCCCACTGTTAGGCAGCAAAGCCAGCATCACGGGCCCTCTTGCACCTTCTTCAACAGTGAAGATCCCTCTATGATAGTTGAGGTCTGTTTTGACATAGCCAGGACTTACTGCATTTATAGCAATATTAGGATACTTTTTTGCCAAAACTCTCGTGTACGAATTGAGAGCTGCCTTGGACATTATGTATGCCGAACAATTAACAGGCCATCGTTTGGTTGCCAACAAATCCTCCTTCAAATCCTCAAGATATCTCTTAAGTACCTCCTCCACTTTCTCTTCTGTAAGGCTATCAGTATCGCTTAACTCCTTCTTGGCCTTTTCATTTAAAACAAGCTGAAATATAATTGAAATGTCGTTATACAAAAGTAGTCAACCAAAAAATAAAATAAAAAACCATTATGTTATATTTTTTCTTTCCTCTATATGATGGAAAAGTTTTTGTACCTCCAATTGCCCCAAGGTAGAGGAGACATTAACTATTTTGGCAGAGTCTGATAGTTGAAGAAGTGGAATAAACTCTTCGGTCACTAGCTTCACTCCATAATAGTTTGTTCCTAGACAAGCTTCTCCCATCTCATAACTTTGCTCCATAAATTTCTCTCCTTTAACATTTGAACTTACAATCTACATCAAAGTTGGCAATAACAAATTATTTTTAGAGAAATTGATTCATAAACAGAATTTGTATGTGGCTCCAAACTCCATA